GGCGTATTTTTGTATTGTACACAATGGAGAGTGACTTTAACATTAAATAGGGAGAAATTGGGACTGCTTGGTGTGTGGGGGGGGGGACATTGGGGGGCTGGGGGGAAGCAATGCTCGGGGGTCTGCCTGAGCTTTTTCCCCTTCCCTCCCATTGCAGCGCACCTAAACTTCTCCAGTGCCCCCCAACCCCCCCGCTCCCTTCCCACCCCAACTCTGTCTCATCAAGGCCACCCCCAGCAGATACAATCCAATTTATTCCCCCAAACCAACCAACAAACGATGACTTCTCAATCCTAAAATTCCAACGCAACGCCCCCAGAACCGAAGCGGCGCCGTCCTCACGTTCGTTCTTGGGGAAGTGTGGACGGATTCCATCGTTTTTCAACCTAAAACAAAAGGGGGGGGGGGGAGAAGCAGAGCTCAGTGCATCTGTGCCCCCACAGAATCCCCCACCCCAAACCCAAATGCAGGAAAAGGGGAAAAATTGAGGTGCTGGAACAGCTGCCCAGAGAGGCTGTGGATGCCCCGTCCATCCCTGGAGGTTCAAGGCCAGGTTGGATGGGGCCCTGGATTAAATGTGGAGGTTGGGGGCCCTGTGTGTGGCAGGGGGGGCTGGGGGGGGGGGGGGGGTTGGAGTTTTATGATCCTTGAGGTCCCTCCCAACCGTTGTGTGGTTCTGTGAAATGAAATGCATCTGCGGGGGGAGGAGGGGGGCAGCATCACTCACGGTGTGGGGACACTCAGAGTTGCTCAGCTGCTGCCGGAGCTGCTTCCTTCTCCTCCTCTTCTTTCTCCCCACCCTCAGGTCCGCTTCTGGAGGGTTCCTCATCTTGGGGGGGTTCTTCATCCTGGGGGACATCCTCGTCCTGTAGGAACGGGGGCAGCAGCGGGGGCCGGGGGGGGCAGCGGAGGAACTCCTCATGGGGCTCTTCTGGGGCTGGCGGATCCGCGCCCGCGGTGTCCCCCGTGTCCTCGGTGCCGTCACCCGGAGCTCTGGCATCGCCCGGCTCGCCGGCGTCACCCGGTTCGTTCGCGTCGTCACCCGGACCTTCAGCATCAGCATCAGCATCAGCCGTGACCTCGGTGCCGTCACAGCCGTCCTCGTTGTCGGCCAGGTCCTTGCCGCCGTCACCCGGATCCTTGGGGACGTCGCACAGATCCCCCAGCTCTGTGCTGTTGTCTCCCGAACCAGCCACGTCCGCGGCGCCGCATCCGCTCGCTCCTTCCATCCCTTCTCCTTCCTCCGGGATCTCATCCGTGAACGGATCTTCTCCCTGGGAAAAAGAACAGCGGGGAAGGTTGCGCTGAGCGCGGCCGGGGCGCGGAGCCGGGAACCATCGGACGCCGGGAGCGGGATCCAACGCTTTCAGCAGGAGAAGCCGAGATCCCGAATCGCGGTGGCCCGGCTCTACGGCACGGGCGCACGGAGCAGATCCGACAGCGCTGCCTTCCTCCAGGGGGAGCCGGCCGCCCCCTGCGCGTGCCTTTAATTGTCGGAGCTCGTTATCTCGTCGGAAGCTCCCAGAGAGCGGCGGCGGGAGCCCCGCAGCCGCGCCCCGCTCCCCACGGCCCCACACGGGCGGGCTGCTCGCCCCACGGAGCCGATGGGAGGCTCAGCCCCACGCTCGGCCGCCTCCGTGCGATCCATGCAACGTTTCGCTCTTCCCTGCTCGGGTTCACCGGAGCCGGAGCCTTGTCCGGGAAGCACCGGGAAAAGCTACGGGAATGCCGGCTGCCAGCGGAGCCGTCAGTCCTCCCGCCGGCTGTGCCCAGCGGGGCAGTCCTGGCACGCAGCGCCCCGGCTCCGCTGGGGACGAGGCAGCTTTCGGGCATTACCTGCAATCCTTCAGTTTTTTCCCCTTTTTTCAGCTTTAGGCACCTGGGAACGGTACGGAGGACGGCGCCGGGGTGGCTCCACGCTCTCCTCCCGCCGACGGCCGGCGGCCGGGCGCGCTTAGCTCTGCCGGCAGCGTGGGACGCCGTCGCTCGGGAGGTGACGGCGGTGCCGGTGACGTGCCTGGGGACCCTGGCAAGGGGTAGATGGATGGAGTCGTAACTTGAGCGAGCGGCAGAGCCCGGAGGGCGGCGCCGGGCGAACGCAAAGCTCGGCGGCTCTGTGCGCCGGACCCAAGAGGATGGAGTCGCAGTTGGGTTGGGAAGGCCAACGTGATGCCGATGGGACAAGGGGGGTCTCCCAGCGCATCCCGGTGCCCCCCAGGGTCGGGGGAAGCGGCTCCGTGGCGTCGTCGCGGGGCTGCGAGCTCTCCTCCGGCCCCCTGCGGGTTTCCGGCTTCCTCCTGCCGCTCCGGCGCCGCGCTGGCCCTAAGGACCCGCTCCTCGCGCCGTGGGCTGGCCCGGGGGCAGCTCCTGCTTCCCACCGGGATCTCGGGGCAGCGAGCGAGGTGCGGCGCCTGGAGGCTCTGTGCCGTGGGGTCTCTGCAGAGCTCGGCTCTGTGCGGGACGTGGGGTGGCTCGGGGCCGTCCCCGGAGCACGCTGCACCCAGCTGAGCTCGGGCCTCGTGCTCGGAGTGCCTTTGGGGCTTAGTTCCTGCTTTTTTTGTTTTGGTTTGGTTTGGTTTGGTTTGGCTATTTGGTGTCTTTAGTGATGGTTCATAACTGATCAGGGGGTTACGGTAGGTACTGTACAGTCTGCAAGTTAAAAACACGAGAGGTTGTGAACCGCCTCCGGAGTGAGAGAAACCAGAGCCAAAATTCGGCCTTTCCGAAGGCAGCAGCAGAGAGGGAGCGGAGCCTCCCCCCGTCTCGGCGCTGCAGCACACAGCCAGCGCGCACTGAACGCACGCAGCGCACGCGTGCGGCTCCCGGAGCTGAGCACCGCCCCCTCTGGCTCACCTTGAGGTACTTCTCCAGCATCTTGACGATGTGTTTGTTGTTCAGGACGCTCTTGGCCACGTGCAGGCTGGTCTTCTTGAACTGCTCGGCGGCCATCTGGGGAGGAAAAGAACCCGTGTCACAGCGGGGAAGCCACACGGGAGAAGGGAACCCAACAGACGGCAAGGGGGCTCGAGAAATGTTGGAGAAGGGAGCCCACGTAGGAAAGAGAACCCGACTGATGGCACAGAACGAAACCCAACCCGTGCTGGAGAGAGAAACCAAGGAATATGGGAGAAGGGAACCCAACCAATGTCAGGGAGAGAAAGCAACCAATACTGCAGGGGGGAACCCAACAAACATCAGAGTGAGGAACCCAACCAAAATCAGAGGGAACCCAACCAGAATCAGAGGGGGAACCCAACCAGAATCAGAGACAGAACCCAACCAAAGTCAGAGAGGGAACCCAACGACCGTTGGAGAGAAGAACCCAAAAAATGTCAGAAAGGGGAACCCACATTGGAAAGGGAACCACGAGGGAAAGGCAACCCAAGAAATGCAAGAAACCCAACACGCAATGGAAGGGAACCCAACCAACGTCAGAGGTGGGAACCCAACCAACGTTGGAAGAGGGAACCCATGCTGGAAAAGGGAATCCGACCAACATCAGAGAGGGAAACCCAATGAACATCAGACAGGAAAACCCAACCAACCTCAGAGAAGGGATACCAAGAAATGTTGGAGGGGGGAAACCAGACTGGAGAGAAGGGAATCCAACAAAGGTTGGAGAGGGGAACCCACATCAGCAAGGGGAATCCAACAAATGTCAGAGTGGGGAATCAACACCACAGCAGGGAACCCAACATCAGAGTCGTGGGATTTGGGCTCGAGGTGTTCAGACTCTTTTACAAATCCCAGAATTGTAGGAGGATGAAAGCGGAGCCTCTGGACCTTCCCCAGTCCAACCACTGGTTCTGTGATGTTTAAGGATCCTTCCAACCCAACCATTCCATGGTTCTGTGACCTTCAGGGACTCCTACAGCCCAACCCATCCTAGGATTCTCTTCATTATTGGCCCAACCCATCCCGTCTCTAAAACCCCATTTAGACATTTACTGTCTCCCATCTGAATTCCTCAAGCGCCCTCAAATTTTAAGTCAGAATTTTTCAGTCAGAATTCCAGCAAACGCAGATTGAGAGAGAAGGAAAACTCAGCCTGCACATGCAGTTAACTCATTAGTTAAATGTGCATCTTCAAGATGAAAGTCACAGAATCGCTGCATGGTTTGGGTTGGCATCGACTCATCCATGTGTTTCAACTCTTATCTGGGCATCAGCCTCACAAAAACAAGGTCAGCCACCCCACCGGCCTTCTGTTGCCCTTTTTATGTTTTAATAAAAAGGACTGGAAAATAGACACAGGAGTGATGTAGAGGCTGCAAATAAACCCAAAGCTCAGGCTGAACGTTCCTCAGAGGCAGAGACTGAAGAGGAGGAGGAGGAGCCCTCAGAGACGAAGGACAGGGAGGAGAAGAGAGGGGTCTGCAGTACTGCGTCCAGTTCTGGGCTGCCCAGCACAAAACAGACAGGGAGCTCTTGGGAAGAGGCCACCAAGATGGTGAGGGGCCTGGAGCATCTCTGCTATGGGGAAAGGCTGAGTGAACTGGGTCTGTTCAGCATGGAGAAAAGAAGGCTGAGAGGGGAGCTGATCCAGGCCTGTAAATATCTGAGGTGTGGGGGGCAGAATGGCGAGGCCGGACTCTTTTCAGTGGTGAATGGAGACAGGACAAGGGGAAACGGCCGGAAACTGCAGCATAGGAAGTTCTGCACCAATGTGCAAAGGAACGGCTGTGCAGTGAGGGGAGGAGCACTGGAACAGGCTGCAGGGAGGGGGGGGAGTCTATGGGTCCCAATGTGTCTCTGTGGGTCCCAACGTGTCTCTATGGGTCCCAATGTGTCTCCATGGGTCCCAATGGGTCCCAACAAATCTCTATGGGTCTCAACCTGTCTCTATGGGTCCCAATGTGTCTCTATGGGTCTCTATGGGTCCCA